GAAAGTCCAGCCAGAATCGTCTTTGGAAGAGAACTCAGGCTACATTGAGATCTGATGTTTGGGATACCTGAAGAAGAACGAAGAGAAATCCGAGATTATGCCGACGAAGTAAGGGCACGACTTCTGGGTATCCATGATTTTGCTCGGGAGCATATTCAACTAGCCAGTGACCGGATGAAGACCAGATACGACTTGAAAGCCAATTCGGTCGGATTTCAAGAAGGTGATTTAGTGTGGTTGTATAACCCAGCAAGGAAGACAGGAGTATCGCCGAAGTTGTCTTCAGCATGGGAAGGACCCTATAGAATAATCAAGAGGATCAATGATTTGGTTTATCGAGTCCAGCGTAACACCAGGAGTAAGATGAAAGTTGTACATTTGGACAGATTGACGAAATATCAGGGGCGCGAAGTTGATCCGGACGATCAACCTTAAGAGGAGGACAGTGTGACGAGCGTCCGTCAATGTGTCAAGAATCCTTGCATCCGCCGGTCTGTCGAATAACCTGGAATCTATAGTGAATTATTCTACTTTAATCGAGAAAATAGGATTAACGTCTGTATTCTAGATTTTACAGGAATAGATTTAGGGATATACACTGCTCAACAATCGAACTGGATAATTGCAAATATACTAAAATCCTCATTTAAAAAAATAGAAAATAAAAACATGTTTTATATTATCAATAACCAGTTTATTGATAATCAATTAACTGTTTATTGATAATATAAAACACCTTTTTATTATCTATTTGTTTAAATGAGGATTTTAGTATATTTGCAATTATCCAGTTCGATTGTTGAGTAGTGTATAAAGGACGCTATTGCTTTGTAGTTTCAAGTTTCAGTTCGACTATAATACGATTTAAATAGTGATTATTTTTGTAAAGAGTTTAATTGTTGAGTTAGTTATTAAAGTAATTAGTGTCAGAGTGTATTGTTACGTGGAATAAATTATTGCTGTGTTAATTATTGGACTTTGATTTGGAATAAACGAAACAAACCCAAGATTTCTGTCAGGCAATCCAAAGCCATGACAATATATTTTTGAAGTGAAAACCTCTTTAGAATCGTTGGGAGTGATTTGAGACTCGATGAAACGAAAAAGCGACACTTTTAACACGCTTAAATTAATAACAATAAGATCCTGGAACAAGCCAAGTGAGCTGGAACAAGTCTGGAAAATGTCTGGAAATCTCTGGAAACGTCTGGAAAGAGCCTGGAAATTTCTGGAAAGGGTCGGAAAAGTTCTGCCAAAGGTCCCAAAAGACCTGGGGATCATTTTCTAGAATCCGTATCTGTCTGTACAAGTCTGGATAAGGTCTGGATAAATCTGGATAAAGTCTGTAAAACTCTAAAAAACTCTGGATAAGTCTAGATATTATCTGGAAAAGTCTGGAAACGTCTGGAAAAGACTTGGAAATTTCTGGGAAGGGTTGCAAAAATTCTGAAAAAGGTCCAAAAAGACCTGGGGATCATTTTCCAGAATCCGGATCACTCTGAACAAGTCTGGATAAAGTCTGGATTAATCTGGATGAAGTCTGGAAAACACTGGAAAGCTCTGGATAATGTCTGGAAATCTCTGGAAACGTCTGGAAAAGGCCTGGAAATTTCTTGAAGGGGTCGGAAAAATTCTGGAAAAGGTCGGAAAAATTCTGGAAAAGGTCCCAAAAGACCTGGGAATCATTTTCCAGAATCCGGATCAGTCTGTACAAGTCTGGATAAATCTGGATGAAATCTGGAAAACTCTGGAAAGCTCTGAATAAGTCTGGATAATGTCTGGAAAAGTCTGGAAATCTCTGGGGCTGACACCCTGACTGGAAAACACGCTTTTTTAGTAAATTGAACTAAAAAGTGAAAAATAATTTTTAATATAAACAGAAAATATTAATGAACAAAAAATATTAGAATTATTGTCTAAAAAGCGTGGGGTGCTCAATGTATAAGAAATGTGGAACAAAGCACCCCAGCGTGTATTTTAGTTTTTTAAACTATATTTATTTGCGTTCTTTCTCAAATCTTTTCACTGTGTATGTTAGTATGTGTGTAATGCATGCAGTAGCTACATAATTCATTATGTAACAAAATTGAATCACCACCGAGTCCAGACCTTCCCGACTCTGTCAGGTGCTGCCCCCTAACGCCGGAGAGAGTACCAGCTCGGAGAGAGAGACATTGCCGGATGACGAAAAAAGACAGACTATGTCCGCAGTCCGCGGTGAACGAGAAAAATTCGATTACTTTTATTCTTGATGTTCACAGTCCTAAAATATAATAATTAAGTTAGTTTTTGCTTATTTTTTCACTGCAACTATCTATTCTCAAGTGTAAAGTTGACAATAGAGTGATGTAAAATTATCAGTGGTGTTTCCTTTGGTCGGATAAATACAAATTCTTCAGTTTAACCTCAAACCCCTTATAATTATTAAAATTAAAAACTTTCCAACATGACTGATGTCCGTCAAACTAAACCGAGGTCTGTGTGCAACTGCGATCCGTCGTTTTTGCTCGACCAGCACCGGGATCACGAAGTTCGATTCGATTATATCGTGTCAAACGATGAGCGACTCGAGTGGATTGTTCACGAAACTCGATCGAGTTGAAAATCAAGTTTAACTAACCCAAACTAACGCTACGCACTTCGAAAATTGAAAGCGATGTCGCATTTTAGTTTTTTAGTTATATAAATATATGTTTTGTGTTTTGTTATTCAAATTTCAATTTTAATTGTTTAAAATTTCCACAATAAACTTGGACTACACCAGAATTATACTCTCCACCAATGCATCTCTGATAAAGAGCCAGTGATCTCCGAGCCAGTCGCATAAAATCTTAAAGTACATAATAGCACCATGTTTTCTAGAGTAACTGTCCTGGCAAGTATTCTCTCTGTACATGTGGTCGTATTAACTGTATAAGTTCTGTAGTTGTCGTTTATTTAGACAAAATAACTCTACAAAACTTGCCTCTGGAAGAGAAAAGGGTTCCTGTTTGTACCTACAAATTTGTCATCGTCGAACAAGCTCAAGATTCTGGCGACGTCTATTTCTTTGTCTTTGCAAAATAGCGTGGATAACGTAACATTTTTATTTTTATGGGAATTTCACGATATATTGAAAAAACAGATGGAATTTAACCTAATTCGAGACCTCCGAACCTGACGAGGCATTTCGATCGAAATATATCGATCAGTCGAAAGTCATGAACAAGTCCTTTCGATTTTCGATCAAAGATGACAAACTTTAAACGAATATCGAGTTTCGTGATCCCGCAGCTGATTTGCTCGTCGAACAAAACTGTCAAAGCGCGTCGGTGCTAGTTACCGTTAAGCGGAAACCTGCTTGCACTGTGTTTGTACACGGGATGAAATAACCGTTTTTTATTTGTATTGACTTGATTAGAGGTTTCTTGTTGTAGATAGGAAGTAAAAAGTACCTACAATTTAAGATAAGAAAACTGACAAAAAAAAAGTAATGTTTCCGCCCAGGATCGAACTGGGGACCTTCCGCGTGTTAGGCGGATGTGATAACCACTACACCACGGAAACAATATACTAATTAATTGTGCGATAATTATCTAATTTTTTTTTAAAAATAAGTTCTCGAATAAGTTTTAATCAACAATTAATAAATTTCTTAATTGTTTCAAGATTTCATAATTCACATACATATTTATACTTAGATGTTGACCATCTGTATGTGTACATAGAGTTAAATTTGAGTTCAATTAAATAAATTAAAATAAATTAAATAAATTAAAATACAATAAAAACTAAAACAAGTTTTCTTCTTCTTCTGTGGGTTTTGAGGTTTGTTTGTGCATGTTTTGAAGAGTATAGGTGAAGAGTATATAATTTAAATTTGGAAAACTATTCTAGAATATCATGAATAAACTTTTTGTTTTGTATTGTATTGTATTTTATTGTAATGTTAGAGAGAGACACAAAAGAAAATTTTGATACTGAATTAATAGAGTTTAAAAAAAAAAAAACGAAAAAATGCGATTTTCTGTCACTGAATAAATCTGTCTATCATTCATTATTATTCCATGGACACTTTCACCCAGTAAGTTATAGAAGTAAAGTTTTATCTCATGTATCGACGACCCTTATTAAAGTCTGTTTTTTTTTTAAAGATAATTCCCCAAGTCAAAAATTTAGTAACTATGTTGGCAACACAAGCCTTTTCTACATAGAAAATTTGAAAACATTGACAATTTTACATTGTATTGCCAACATAATGTCATTTTGACTTTTATCTTTAAAAAAAAAAACAGACATTACTCTTCACTATTTTCTTCTTCAATTTCTGTCAATTTCAAAGCTAATTCCAGATTTAACATTTCTTGAGGACTTCTTTTTTTTCAATTTTTCAATTTTAAAATTTCCAACTTTGATGCTTGACTGTCACTGTTCCCTTTTGACTTGAAATTTATCGCTTCAGTAGTATTTTTTCGTTTTGCTACACCATTACCAGTAGAGTTTACATCTGACAGTGTAGCCGGCTCCCGTGCCAGCAAACACTGCCTTCTGCCGTCTTACAGATGTTAGAGCAAAGTTCCGCAAATATTTATAATTATTTCAGTTTGTCATAGTTTTTACTCTTCTATATATTGACAAAGAGCCCTATCTCGTTCATATAAAATCATTTGAAGCACATCTGTAAGCCAAGGTGCAGGAGGGTTTGTAAAGCGAGTCGTCCGGAAAGGCGCGTGAACGTCAAAAATGGACAGTAAGTTAGTTAGTCTGAATTTATCCTAAAAGTGCTTCATTTTGTCTTCTTCTATTGAAGTATCATGAGAACTAAAATAATGATTCAGATTTATAAAAAAAAAACATAAAAGAAAAACAATGTATTTTACGTCCATTGTTGACCTCAGCTTTGAGTATGCTCCAGTCATCTGACAAAAACATTTATTTATTTGAAACCTATTAATAATCATTCGATAAAATAATGATATGATAATAACAATCTAAAAAAATGCCATTTATTTTATCTAAGAAATTCAATTAAGGACCTGCTCCAATAACTACTAATCACTCGTTCTCAAAAGCACGTAATACAATAAATGTAATTATAGAAAAATGTTTAATAACAAAATTTGCTTTATTTTGGCGACAATATCGTTTGTTGTTGGCGACATTGAGTTTATGGACTGCGGTAATTATATCAGTTAGTTTAAAATATGTCGTATTTAATGCCGGAATATTTAATTAAGGTTCCGATGTCTTTGTCGATCATGTTGAAATAGACGGATGCGTAGAATCACCATGTCCAATTGTTAGAGGTAAAACCTATGACGTTTATATTACGCCTGTCCATTTAGGTAAGTAGATATTCTATAATTTAAAGCGCTATAACTTTTGTGTGAAGTTAAATTTTCAAGGGTTTATAGATAGAGGATAGAGACAATTTTGTAAAAAACGAAAACCCTCGAAAATTTCAATTTTAAACAAGGTGCATCAAAAAAGTTATAGGTTATATTGAGGTTAATTCTGCAAATTTTAGACCCCAGAGTGGACAGCATCGAAGTCGAAACGTACATACAAGTATGGGGCGCTTACTTCTTGCTACAGTCGGCTTGTACCAATCCTTGCGGCACCGCTTGCCCTTTAAGGCAGCCAGTGGACATGCCTCGCTTAAAATTTACAATTGAATTTCCTAGGACCTTGCACCGCAACCCTGCGGAACTTCATATAGTCGCCAAACTCAAAAATAGGATCCGAATCACTAGCGAAATATGCGTTAGTGTTGGTGTTGAATTGTTTTAAATCAGGAAAATATAAAACTAAAGCGACTTACTTAACTATTTATACCTACTTAATTTAGGATTAAGGCTTATTATAAAATTTTATATTCCCATATTCAAGAATAATACTTTTATTTTTTCCTACCTGTACTTCTGTTGCTCATATTATACCATCTCTTATCTTTATATGATTATATTATGTTTTCCTTCAATTCATTATTTTGAAAGCTCCATTTGGACGTCTAACTGCCTGAAATGAAATTTCAGTTTCAATCAATTTTCAATAAAAATTAAAATCCTATTGTTGCCAATGCAATGATGCCATTTTTGCCACTACTAAATTCTAAAGATTCTTTCTATGCGAAACATCTTACTCCCAATCGAACGGAGTATATTTATCTTTTATTATTTGTCCTTATAAGGGTTTTTTGGTGAATATCACCTTCGTGAATACCGATTTTGTATTCAAGCATTTTTCCGTTGATCAGCATCTATTCAAGCTGACAAGCTTCTTATTGTTTTCGGGACGTCCATATTTTTCATAATATCCACCAATATCAATATTTTGTAGTTACTACAGAAATTTTAATCAAGAATAACAGAGACTTACCAAACAACCATCCTATGAGAGACCATCACTCAGAAAGCACAACCAAAAAATTCAACTGTGAATAAAGCAAAGGTTCATGGACCTTTTTTTAAGTGCTTTCAACAATTAACATTCTAAAGGAACCGAATTCCTAGAAGGATCAATAAATCATGCACGACCCTATGTGATGATACCGACTTAAAAAACCGCTTAGCGACGCCCTTGATAATTAATTAAAAGGGGACCAAATACACTAATTGATCGGATGATTCAACCACGAAAAATCGATGTCAGAAAAAACAAAGAAATTCAAGAAAATGTAGGGACCAATGAAATAAAAAGGCAACTTTGGCAGGAGAAAATCAGTCTTCGAGAAAGAGCGAGTAAACGGGTAGAGCTACGTCTGTAAACCAGTGTTCGGTTGAGTAATCATAATCAAGAAACAATCGAGAGACCTGTGTTCAGAAAGTCAGAACTACGGCGTGAAAGAGTTGTCGAATTAACCGAGAGAAGAAGCACGACGTGAAATAACAGCGCGAAAATATTCGAGTTTTTTATTAAGTGTTCATAATTAAAGTAAATTCCTTCGACCAATAAGATTTCCATGTAATTAGGTGTGGCCAGCAGTAAATATATTATTGTTAAATGTAAGTCAAGTTTTTTTATGTTCAGTCAGAAATTGTGAAGGCAAGAGTGTGAATCGAGTCAATTTGTAAATAAAAATTTTTACTTGGAATCATATAAATTTTCCTTAACAGTTAATTGACCTATCTTTTTTTACCTTATCTGCGCGCGCAACTCGTGGTTTGCAGGTGAGTGTCCAATGAGAACTGAGTTTGTTACAGGCTTGCGTCATATTCTTATTCAGGGGCCAGTTCAGAATTAATTATTCCTTCTTTCTTTGTAATGTGTAATTCGACAAAGAGCAAACTAATCCTTTCCATATTACTTCTGAACTTACCGCAGTGTCGTTTAACGTTCTGTCAGATTATACTTGACATATTCCAGAGGTTATTCTAACGTGCACTTGGACACGAAATGTGCAGTAGGAAAAGTATATTGTGCAGTAGGAAATTAAAATCTGTGTAGTTATTTCTTCATTTATCACGAACAAAAAACTTAAAACTTAACACAGAACAAACTAAAAATAATATACATGATTGACATAATATGCTACTAACCTATGAGAATGCAATAGCACTATCAAAGGTATTCTGAAATGTCTTGCTATTTTTTCCCTCAGAACCATCTCCAAACTCTCCGCTTGCCTAATTCTCATTAGCATTGGCTTTGTACCATCTTTGTTGTTCGGCCTGTGCAGTTTCATTTTCAGAATCTACTGACAAGCTACTTTGAGATATAGGCTTTTCAATGTATTGCTGATACTTAGTTATAAGTCTTTCCACATCCGCACAATGCGATTTAGCATTCAAGACCTGTGCAAAAATTATTTAGTTGCATCCAGGAAATCCGAAGAACTGGTTATAAAGTTAACCAACCCAGAATTCAGAAAGCCTCAGTTTCTGCAACTTTTCTATTTGTGGATGTTCTAGTATTTCGTCATAATCTAACTTGAATTGAGTTATAGGCAAATATCTTTCTTTTAATTACGCACTAAAGTCTGTTTTTTTTTTTAAAGATAATTCCCCAAGTCAAGAATTTAGTAACCATGTTGGCAACACAAGCCTTTTCTACATAAAAAATTTGAAAGCATTGACAATTTTACATTGTATTGCCAACATAATGTCATTTTGACTTTTATCTTTAAAAAAAAAACAGATTTTAGCTGACGTCACACACATAACCTCACTTTCGATGGCGGCCAAACAATTAGGCAATCCAACGACCTGTCCAAATGGCATTTGGTTGGCAAACAATAAACAAAAAACATATGTTTTTTTTTGGCAGGATTAAGCCTAGTACTCATAACAGCGAAATTCGCTCTTTTTTGACATTGCTTCGACAATTTGACGTTTTATGCGTGAATCAAACGTCAAATTGTCGAAGCAATGTCAAAAAAGAGCGAATTTCGCGATTATGAGTACTAGGCTTTATCAATCTGACAATTTTCTGACATCGTCGACATGTAACAACCCGTATTCTAACCTCATAAAAATTTCAAAATGCCGGACGGTTGGCAAAAGTCACGTGGTTTGGATTCCCTAATTAGGCAATCCAACGACCTGTCCAAATGGCGTCTGGTTGGCAAACAATAAACAAAAAACATATGTTTTTATTTTGACGGGATTAAGCCTATAGTACTCATAACCGCGAAATTCGTTTTTTTTTTACGTTTGATTCACACATAAAACGTCAAATTGTCGAAGCAATGTCAAAAAACAGCGAATTTCGCTGTTATGAGTACTAGGCTTTATCAATACTGACATCGTTGACATGTAACAACCCGTATTCTAACCTCATAAAAATTTCAAAATGCCGGCTGGTTGGCAAAAGTCACGTGGTTTGGATTCCCTAATTAGGCATTCCAGGTTGACGTCATAACCGATCCGCCATTTTAGCTGAGGGCAAACAAAAGCCAAACATAACCTGATTTAATGTTATTTTCAATGCAAACCGAGAATTTTTGAAGTATTATTTTGTGAAGATGCCTTCGTTTTGTGGCGTTTTTGGGTGCTCCAATAGAGCTGAAAGGGATAAAGTGAGGTTTTTTAGGATTCCAGCAGCATTTAAAGATCGAGGGGATCGCATAAACGAGCTATCAAAAAAATGCTCGAATTTGTTCGAAACATTTTGTTAATGGTAAGGTTTATGACTGTCTTGTTGTTAAAACACAAAAACACTTCATCAAAAAAGTTGTTTATGTTTCTACAAGTAGATATACCTATAGGTAACTTTTAATACCTTTTAGGTAGTCCGCAGCAGAATTTAAGGATACAAACAATCCGGATTGGGTCCCCAATACAAATTTAGGATATATAGGTTTTTTACGTTATATTTAGGATGACGTCATAGAACAAAAAGAGACGATGTTGTCAATGCCTATTTTTTTTCTTATAATTTATCAGAATGTCACGTGATAGTAGACCTATCTATTTTACCAAACAAAGAGGTAATAATACGAAAACTTCATCAGATAAAAAAAAACACAGAACGCTCATTGCGCAAGACGAGGCAAAATGTACCAAATTTTGTTAAACTTATGTATGGCAATCCGTCCTCCTTATTTGCACGGGATAAAAAGAGAAGAAGAAAAACCGCGTGTTGTGCAACGTATTTATCAATGAACATTTGAAACTACTTTTGAGTGTCACTTGTCAAGTAACGTCAAGTTGAATATCAACCGTACTTTTTTTTTTTATCAGACCACGAACAATGAACAAGGACAAGGAGATGTCCAGCGTGCAAAACGAACACTTCACACCTGTACTAGTTAGCTAATAAAATGACTTGCCTCATGTTGCGCGCGCATACCAGGTAAAAATAGATAGGTCTTTTCTGTCAAACGAAACGGAAAATAGGTAATTTACTTACATGCCTCACACGGCCGTATTCACCAACGACCGCTAACTGCTTATCAGTCTGATAAACTACTTGTCAGACTGTTAACGTAAAATTCGGTATTCACCAACCTTGAGTAGTAGATATCAGTCTGATAAAGTTGTCAGGCGAAATTTGGGCTGTTAAGGAAGTTATCTGTCTGATAAGTGTTATTGTTATTGTTTTTTTTTTCAAAAAAAAAAATCGAATGTATCCATAAATTGGAAAGAATGGATGGTTCGTTAAATTTTAATTTATGGTAGGTACTTTATAAGTTTTTATTTTTTGGCAAAATGAACAGAATGGACCTAGTCTTGGAGCCATTGCGGACGAAAGAAATAAACCAATCTAAAAAAAATCAGATTTTAATTGTAACCGGGTCTTTTCAACTTTGTATTGCGGTGACCATTTCAATGTTTCACAACAATCACAACCAACTGTACTGTATTGGTTATGGTTTCTTATTCCCGATTAAATATTTCTCAACCAAAGAAATTAGAATTTCCTTTTCGTGACCAGAAAGCTGCTACATTTCATTTTCCATTTGGTATTCGTATACGATAATTAATTATCATTAGACAAATTATTAGGATTAGGAAGTTCATTACTTGTTTCACAGCCCAAGAAAAGTTATTATTAATAAATAAATATAATACAGACAAATTTTGAGGTTGTTAAATGAAATGAAGAGAAAAACTGTTCATAGAATATATGGATTTTTATTTTTATCAGTCTGTTGTCACAAGGACCATTTTTATTGGTGAATAGCACTTGCCGTTATCCGAATGATAAATGTTAACAGACTGACAGCTATCAGATAGCTAAGTTGATTTTGGTGAATACGGTCGTCACAGCAGTAAGAAGCAAAAATGGTCGCGTTCCTGCTGGAAATACGTTATTAAGTATACTACCCTTTCCTGAGGCCGACTCCGACAAACCTGCGGGCATTTTCTGAGTAAGTTTACGCTACGAAAAAGTACTGAATTCTTGAAAGAACTTTTTTCTAACTGTAACCAAAGAATATTATAGACTAACGTCTCTAGAAGAACCGTCCGGCGGCGAAAATATAAACCTGCGTGATGGCGCTAGTGTCCTAGTAAAATCAGT